TTACATTATTAGGGCCATAACCGGATCTATCCGGATATAGGGTTGCCAGCAATAATAACCGGTGCGCAATCGAATTACCGGCTCGGCCGGGCCGGTCGCCGGCAATAATCGCGTTTATAAGTGACAGTCGTGCCTGGCGATTATCGCTTAGGGCTCGTTCGCAGTGACGAGGGTAAGCAGGTCTCTTAGACCCCACAAGACTGATTTTATTGAGACGCAATCACTTTGAATGTGTTAAGATTTTAAGCTCATATGTAAATTAAATACATACTATTGGTTCTCAGTAAGTTTGGCTATATCAAAACAAACTTTGGTCCTATGGTTCTAGGTTTGAACGATCTCGATCTAACAGTCCAATTCAGCTTTTATGTATGTCAGAAATTGAAATAGTGGCAACTATTGTCTACTTTAAGTTACATAACCATCAAAGAAAAAATGACTTAACAAATTGAAGGACACGTCAAGCCGCCTCCGTCCAATTGAGCCATGTCAGGCGCTAATAGCGGCCCATAGTCTTAAGCATTATTAGGGTTACTATGACCACTGTAGCTGAAACCCTCCTAATCGTTGGGGATTAATGCAGATTACAGAGTAGATTGATCGTCTCTACAAACATCCATCAAATAAATCGCCATGGACATCGATGATGCTATACGAGTATGTCGACCACTCGATATGAATATAATTAAGACGATGAAGGCCAAAATATTTTTTTTGTCCCTTAAAAAATAATAATTACCAAATGCTTCGTGAAATAACCCTTACCCCGGTCGCCGGTGTAACCGGGCCGAGGTTTTTATAGCCGCTATAATTTTTGAGATCGCCAGTTAGGGGTTAAGAGGAGCTATTTTAACGCATCCGCCCGCCGCAGGGCGGTGGAATTAACTTGTTATCTTTTAGTGCTTTTGTAAAGCCTTATTAAAAGGATTCCTGCGCCTTTTTGTTTCAGGTTTTACCTCAGGTAAAAATTAATCGGACTGTTGTATTATTTATACTTTTATATTCGGCCTGTTTTCATGCAAACGTAACACGTGTTGGGAAATTAGTCCAGTCAATGAATGCCTTAACGACGGTGTAGAGAGAAATCCATGGAACACAATTTCTGACCTCGGGACTTTATTTAGCCTAGTTAGGTGGTGAACATAGCAAAAGTCCCCGCCCTTAGCCCTTGAGCCGGCGGGGAGAGGGGGGTTTAAAGGTACCACTTTTCGGTTTTTCGCTTAATCCTCGGAAAATATGCGTCCTAGTGACATGACTACTATGAACCAAAAAAAGCTTATTCAATTTGCTACAGGTGAGACAGTCAAGTTTTTCTATATCTTGTATAGATTTTGCGGCATCTGCTCTAGAAGGTCTGTAAAATTGGAAATTTTATTGTTGTCTTACATGTTCCTTTCAGGAGAAAATCGACTAAATCAACATTGAGCAAACACTATAGACATGCGGGAGCATGTTAAGCCTAGTTCCAGGGAGGGGACTGCACCGTGCGTATATTTAGACGAACCAATTAGAGCCACTTTTGACTCCTCATCATTCAAAAACTACTGTGCATTAACACTTCAAATTTGGCTCATGTATTGAGACTTGCAAGATGTACATCAGCTTCAAATTTCATAAATATACCTTAAACGGTTATTTAGGTATTGACGTTCAAAAATCGATATTTAGAGCACTACTATCTATCTATCACATGTGAAATGTTAAAATTTACTGGTTTTTTATTTGTTCCTTTGTATTTACATAACTACCTTTCTGGATGCCAAATTTGAACCTTCGAACATGTAAGACAAAAATAAATTTTCCAATATTACAGACCTTCTAGAGCAGATGCCGCGAAAACTATACAATTTATAGAAAAACTTGTCTATCTCACCTGTAGCAAATTGAATATGCTTTTTTTGGTTCAAAGTAGTCATGTCACTAGGACGCATAGTTTCTGAGGATTAAGCGAAAAACCGAAAAGTGGCACCTTTAAACCCCCCTCTCCCCGCCGGCTCAAGGGCTAAGGGCGGGGACTTTTGCTATGTTCACCTCCTAACTAGTCTAAATAAAGTCCTGAAGTTAGAAATTGTGTTCTACAGTTTTCCATCTATAATGCTTTATTGACTGGACTAAATACCCAATGGGAGAATTTGAACACGAAATTATACCGGATGTATTCTCGACATAAAATATTCCACCTCATCTTTATTCAAATCATGACGATTCCCAGTGTTGTAATTCTAACAAATAATCTTATTCTTATTTCCTCCGCGACGGTCCAGCACGTGTCTCGCGGGGCCCGTGATGATGGCCCTACTTCGCACCTCTCCCGCTTCCCCGCTCCCCTCGGGCGGTTAACTTAATAAAATTACCTCTGTGCGTTTCTGCGCGCCTGGTGTAAAAACCTCGGTGGGTTTAAAAATTTTTGCGTGTTTTTAGCGAAATGAGACAGGATTTATGCAATTATGTTTGTTTTTTTACGGCAAGGCAACGTGACGCCTTGAGATTAGAACTTCAGGTTTTACGTAGGTTAAGTGCCATTTTATTGTTTTTTCCTTTTAAATGAAGGCTCTTTTAACATCCGGAAGGCAACTGGGGTGACTGGTCACCCCACAAGTTCAAAAAAATGTTCATATGTTTAGTTGCTGATGTTGTCTTTCTGTCGTTTGGTCTATTCTGAGTTATCAGTCGCATGCGTCAACATATCGCCTTAGGTTCATGTTTTTGATATTCTGACACCCCTGTTGCTATTTACGTAAACAAAAAAATTTTTGCCTGCCGAAGGTTAAATTAATGCTCAGTTAATAACAAAAAAAAATCATGAATAAGCTTAAGTTTGAGCTTCTTCCAACTTTGAAAGAAACACTTCTGTTACTCACACCAAAAAAGCAACATCTTTAACTAAAAGGGTGTTTTGTTACTAGTAAATCGATAACATTTTAGTAGAAAGAGGCGGCTCTATCAATCATTGGCCGCTACTAAAGACATAGCTCGAGGGAAGCGAGGCCAGTTTCCCCGATCGTTCACTATCGGCCGACCCTAGCATTAGGGTAGCGCTCGCGGGAAGCTCCTCGCCGCTTATGCTTGCCTGGTACTTCGTGTTAAAATGACACGTGATTTTGCTCGAAAACAACACGTGTGGAAGATTTATACATATCTCGTTGGCACGTATTAGTTGCTGTGAGAATTGCAATTTGAGATTTTTAACATCTTTTTTGTGTCACAATATGGACATTTGAAAACTTCAGATCAAAAATAAAATTCGTAAAATGATATTGTGTACTCGTATTATGTAGATCCAATGTAACCATACTCAACAATACTAAGTTGCCTCCATAAATATTAATAACCTTTGTACGAAAGGCAGTAATATTAACTACAGCAAAAAATCTATCAACAGCCGGTGCGCAACTTACCCCCGTGGTGATATTGACTCCTCTATTTTTATAGTCGCCTAGTACAACGACATCACAAGGGTAGTTTTGCTATTGTATTATTTTATTACCCACACAAATATGAAGGGGCGGGGCTTAGTGATTGACATAAAAAGCACACAAAGAAGCCTTTCCAACCGAGCCGTAACCACCACCATTGCGGTTATGGTGAAACACACTCTTCCGTTCTTATACTGTCCTAGTATCAAACCCCATGGTGGTATTACTTGTTACGGGGCTTCACTAGTAAACCCCAAATAAAATTCCTGTCCCCATTGTTTTAATCCCACGGAAAAAAATTCGAGCACCTACTATGCAACGATAATCGGTTAGTCAGTTTGAGCCTTGTTATGTTAGTAGCAACGTGCCATTTGGAACACCATAATGCATAAACCACATTTTCTATGAACCCCGTAGACAACCCCTATGGTGAATTTTACTCCTTTATTTTTATGCCAACCTGGTATACCAACACCACAAGGGTAGTTTTGCTCATAAAGTAACCAACGGGGGTTAGACAAATTAGGGTGAAAAGTGAGAGAGACATACAAAGTAGAAAGAGATAAAAAATACAACGATGGCAGTTTAGTGGTGTGTGCAAATGAGTCAGTAAAAATAAGTTATTTGAAATGTCGTTATATCGGAATATTGCTGTCACTGGCAGTTGGAATAAAACAGAAAATGTAGCTTGTTAGTTGTGAGCTATTTTTCATGTTCTTGCTGGCGCCATTGTCGAGTCGCACAAAAGGCCGGCACCAGGCGCGCAGGGGCTATACAGAAATTGACCGATCGCGCAAATTGAATGTCCGTCGAACACGGCCCGGGATAACATGCCATTGTCCCCTGGCTTTTCAAGATACAGCCAATATTTCACTCGGTCGCAAAATGTTCGATCGGCGGAAAAGCTACGAGAAACCAAAAGACACGTACAATACGTATTCGCGATCAATCATGCGTGAATTCTTGTCAAGCAACCAAAAGCGGGTATCAGAACACGAATATGCATTGTCTGAGTCTGACGATTTTGCACTGAGGACGCGTACAATAGAGATAATAGGGCATAAATACATTTGATGTCACGTGATATTGATATCCTTGATACCAGGAGAGCATAGGTAGCGAAGTGAACGTTACGCTCGCAGCCTTTGATATGATAGATTTATGTCCCGTGTGGGAGGAAGAAAGGATTTTGATGAATAGCTTCCCACAGAGAAAAGTAGTACAGGTTTATGCTGACAATACAATATCTTCGTGCACATTTTATAGTAAATGAACCGTGGCTAATATCCTATGTTATTAATCTTGTAGTTGGAAGGCAGTGGAATAAACGAGCTACAGAATAATGTAAAACACGTACAGGTTCATGTTTCATCTTTCATATTTCACTTTAAGCGAAAGAAAGAACCAAATCTCTATAGGGTGCATCAATTTTAGATTTCACAAACAGTTGATTCTGTAAATAAGCTAAGACTATTTTTATGCCCCCCATAAAAATGGGGGGATATAAGAAATGTTTACAGATCTTCATTTTTGTTACTGTGAGAATTCTTAATTTTTTTTCTAATTTATGTTTATTTTGTCCGCAGCTTGTGGGCGGCGAGTTCGACATGGAGCTGAACTTCGTCATCCAGGACGCCCAGAACATCCAGCACATGCTAGAACTGCTAGACCACTGCCCGCCGAGCCTGCAGGTGAGCTCCTTAACACTCATGCCGCCCTGGTACTTCAGAGCGCGGTCGCTTGTTAATTAACGGAGTAATTAACCTCTAATTACCGCGACAAAAGGCTCATTTAACAAAAGGTTTACAATCTGCTACTTTCTTTTGTTTTTTCTTTATTTATGAGGTTCTAGCACAGAATAATAATAAGTACTATTAGACTTAGTGCATGCAGTTTGGTACCTATAATCCTATATTTCTTTTACATAATTATTTATACTTTACCTTGTTGATTGTATGGGTATACTACATACTCCTATGTTAATGTACCCAATGATATAAAATATGTAACTAAGTAAGTACTTGATAATTGGTGTACATATTTCCGATTCTACCTATAACTTTTTCGTTGTTTAGATAATGTCTTAAGGCACGTGTATTTATTACGCAGGTATACATAACGTATATTATTATCAGTACCTAAGTTGAAACTATGTAAACAATACCTATCCCAATAGGTTGTTTATTAAGTGAAAAGCTCTATCTCTTGTAAGAAGCAACTTTATTGTATTTGTATTAGGAAACGATAAATTAAATGAAATGGAACTCTCTAAGCTGGCCAAGTCGGCGATGTCAAGTAATGACAACAGTACTTAAGTATTAAACAAGTAAATAAATATACGTGCTTAAAAGGACCTTATGAAGTATGCCCCTAGTGCGCTTTGTGAAGAAAGAGACAGCAAATTGAATGCTTCCTGATTGCCGGGTCATTTTTTGTGAGAGGCGGGACTTGGGTTGATGGGCTGCTTATTTTTTTTCTTTAACCGATGAGAGCATTCCATGCCATACTCTTGTGAAGTCATGTTGTCCTGGTAACTAAGTAGATCAAAGTAACCCTTTACTCGTTTTTGATGAGGTTTTGTTATATTGCCTTGTATTGTTGTAGGATGTCCTTTTGTATATTGATAGCTTAATTGTCATTGAATGGGCACGATAGATAAAAAAGGAATTTGTATGGAATCTTATTAGAAATATCTTTTGGGGACAACGTTAAGTAAATATTTCTGGTTGTAGCTTTTTCATATTTTATTTTCAAAGAATAGATCCACTAAAGATTGTCGGAAGACCTTTGCTACCGGAATTTCATTGATATTCTGTCCTTTATTCATGTCATTGTGATAAAATGATTTGGTAACTTAACTACTTAATTTGAATGTATCAGAAAATAAAGATAAATAAAATTTTATTATGGCCACGTTGATAAACTGTACTGAAAGTACGCTCCAATGTTGATACTGGTAGATACACACTCTGGGTATTATTGTAAAGCGGGTACATTTTAATTTACTAATGAAAATAATTTTCAATTATTGAAGTAAGTATGAAAATGTTTCTGACATCAAACAAACGTCCATTCAAAACGTCACAGGGTAACCATATAAACTGAGCTTATACTCGTATTCAGCAGTGGGCGACGAAATTGACTATTGCATTAATATCTACCCCCTGCACGCCGCATGCAATGCACGTCATTATTGAATGCGCTCTCAATTTCAATCCACCGCCATTGTTCTTCTGCTAGCCTGGTATTTGCTCTTTCAATACAATGCAAAATTAATGGTCAATTTTATATCAGTCACAATTTATTTTAATTTCGTTATTGGTTATTTAACTTATCTTGATTGGACATAATGTCTCATAGTTAATAAAACGTATTAATCCATTTCAAAATATTATACCACGAGTATCTATTTAATTGTACTTATATCTCTCTGTAACGTTTGTTCTCAGCTTATCTTTTTTTTTTGCAAATAGATTTATGCTAGATTAATGTTTTATAAGATGTGTAAGGATATAAAAATACATAATTATTATGTGCGTATTGTAAAATAGTTTTAACCTTGTGCCCGTTTGCTACTCGCTGTACTATGAGTGATCATCATTTTTTATGAAAATCCGGGATCCACGCGGTCACGCGGTTGAAGCCTGAAGCAAACGTTAGTAGGTCGTTTGCAAATTACAAAGGGTTTCAGAATTTAATAGTTCAGCAAATTCAGGGCCAATTTGAGCGCGCAATCACCCAACCTCATTTCGGTATGAAAGAAGATATGAATTCAAAATTTATCTTGAAATTCTTGGATTGCAGAAATGCTCCGCTTGGAAGTCTTTGAGTTTTATCGGGAGGGTCGGTATCGCGCGCTATCGCTCCCCCGCGTTTAACGAGGATCAACCTCCTTTGCATTCGTGCGCTCCTGGTACCTAAAGATTTGGAGCATCTTGAAACAAGGAAGCCATGTTTTGTTTAAAGTCACGTTTTTTATACCTTTTGAAATAAGTTGTTGACATTGGTGAGTATGGCTAAATATTTGAATTTTAAGTTTCATCAAAATTATTTGTATTGTTGTAACTGTATAAAAATGATTTAATTTAAAATTTCAAACTTTCGCGTTTCATTATTTGAAACATAAAGCAACATTTATTTTGCAGTACATACTCGTAAGTAGATACAGCTTGACGTTTCGTTATGTAATTAGATAAAATAATTGATAATACGACAAATGCTGTATCACTCGTAGTCATAACGAGGTCAAGATAACTAGAGCAAATTAGTTCTGCAGTGAAAGTAGATCAGATAACGTTGAGGCAAATACATAACTAAAATTGGCCACTTGTAAATAAGTTTCCGTAGTGTAGCGGTTATCACGTGTGCTTCACACGCACAAGGCCCCCGGTTCGATCCCGGGCGGAAACAGGTTTCATTTTTGTATTTTTTTTTATGTCTGTAATGGTATTTATTTTTTTATCAGAAAATTTTTCAAAAACTTGACTTGGAGGATTTTGAAAAAGTTTTTTTAGAAATCATAACTCAAAATTGTAAACGCAATAACCCAGGTAGTTCATAATAATACCGAAGGTAAACTTCGTTCGTAAATTTGGCAAAATCGGGAATTCGGCAAATATAGGGCAGTTTGTGAAAGTTATTGCTCGCTTGTTCTTAATGTTCGGTTGAGGTTCTTGGACCCTTAGTTCCTGTAATACAGAGGTTCCTTTCGTCTCTCTCAAGCATGCCTGCGTAAAGCTGTGAGCGAGGGAGAGGGTAGAAGTAAACAGAATCAGATGTTTTTTTTTTTGCAGTACTTATTTTGCATCGTCATTTTAAAACTTTTTCAAATTTTGAACTAGTAGAGTTAGATGTTTTTCGAACTTGAAATTGGTGCCTATGTAATTTTAAAGAAAAAAAACTTGTGTATGTATATTACCATAACTACCAACCACAGAATGTTTCTTTATATTGGTTACGAAAACTTTTACATTGAAATTGCTGACCTCTTAAAAACCCAAAACTAAATGCTAGCAAAGTTCTCGAGACAAAATTAAATGTAGTAGAGCGTTCTAAATCGAACTTAATTACGAACTCGCAGAGAAACGAGATCTTAAAAGATTAAGGACAGAGCTCCGGCGCAGTCGGGTAAGCCACAGAGCAGGGAGAACAGTAGGCCTAAGATGCGCGCCGTGATAACTTTTATCGACGTCAAAATGTATGGGCAAAATCGATAAAATGGCGTGATAACCGCCTATCGCGGCGCGCATCTTAGGCCTACAGTAGGCACACTTAGAAACACTTTTTAACAGCGCTCATGCGTCTTTAAGTCGTTTATAAGTCATAAATTCATTAATTCTCTTCAAATAAGCTTTTAAAAGCGCTTTAACACGTCCCAGTATTACTATTACCCTATCACTGCTTCGGGACAGTAAATGAGTCAGTGCTGAGAAGAATCAGAACAAGAAAATCAGTCCCCTTTACATGTGCTTGACCTTAATTTCATGATGAAGAAGCTAGCTCAGTAAATAATATGCACTCGGGGCTTAAGCTTAAAGAAATATTGGGAGTGAGCTCTATACATGAATTAACCCCAATACAGTCAGTATTGGGGTTGCAACTGCATCAGGTTCAAAGATAATCTGTATCTAAAAACTCCAAAATAATATTCCTTTATCTCGTTCACAAAACTGCATCTTTCCTTTAGCTACTCAATACGAGTGCACTTTGTTTATTATTTTGTAACTAAAACTTGTAGGTAATCTCCAATAAGCAGTGGCTGTTCTAATTCATGCTGCGACTTTGAAGGTACTTCTTGTTTCAGTTTAATGTACGACTGGTTTAATCCTTGAACTCGTCTAATTATATTATTTAATTATGCCCCTATGAGACCCTCTTCCACGAAACTGGTTTTTAATATCAAGAAAACAAATTGGTCGAGGATTCGAGGAAGTGACCTAGAAACATTGTTTTGTATAAAATATAAAGTAGGTAACTAAACTAAAGCGCACGTTTACCCGTGTCTTCGCCCGTGTGACATTCTCTATTTTATATTTGATTCTGATTCTGATGTAATACCTACGTTTCTTAAAAATTCGTTAAATAGTTATTGTTACGTTACATACTTTCACATTTATAACATTAGTAATTTTCTCCTGCAGCAATCTATGCTAAAAATGTGTTATTACGGGACTATTTCCACCTCTTGTTTCCACCGCTATTCCTGTGTAGGCAGGATCATACAGCTTGACCGCCAAAAACCCCACCAGAGAAGTTCAAGTTTGTCCCGGGGAAAGCTAAAGTCTCATTGGACCCGCAACGAATTAATCAGAAAAACAGAGGAGTTCTTTGTTATTAGTATAAATTGTTTATTGAGCTACCTACCGTTTACTGCAGTAAAATTGAATTAAAATCTATTTTCTTCGGTTTTAAGGCTCTATTTCCCAAAATAATACCAAATCTTCAAAGGCTGCCAAACTTAATGCCCTTTGAAAGCGTTGGCCAGTATTGAATTATTGAGTACGATTCGACTGCTATTTGTCTAAAGCTGTCGCGGCATAATTGGCGCGGTCGGCCAACAATGCGGTGACAGGGAATTGGTTACAAAGGATTATACTGTTTGTTTGGCCTGGCTGTTTTGTTTGGACATGGCGATAATGATTTACATCGATGTTCTAACCCTTTTTGATTTATTTACACGCTTTCGTAAATA